TTATTCAAATTGTTTATAAGCGAAAAACGCACGGTTTTTTAATGCACAATTTGAGAATGTTAATGTCAAAAAAACGGTGATATTTTTTAATAGGTCGCTTAATTACGTCTTTAAGATTACAAAGACGCTTTCAGAATCATGTTTGGTTGAAAATTAACGCCTGTACAGAGGCTTAAAGTTCATAACTTTTGGAGCCTCCGTTATAAACAAATAGAATTGTGCGAAAACTATTACACCTACAGCGCCCACTTTTGGCACACTTTTGAAGTATGCCAAAATCCTCAACTTGTCATAGGTTTTATAAAATTTTAACAATAAATGCGATAGTTATAAACAAATTTAAAAATGGGTACTTTTCTTGTTTTTTTGCAATAACGTTTTTGTTTATTAACCGATTTTAATTTAACAAGTCTAATTTTGTAGGTAATTTTACTCCCTATAAGCTGTCACTGTGAGTCACTTTTCGCTAAAATTGATCGTTTTCCCTGCAAAGTAAAAAAACTGTTTTCCTCACTTATTTGTTTAAATAGGAAAGTTAGCTAATAAAAGTTTTTGACTCATGAGAAGAGAAATGTCTTGTATTATGTTCCTTTAGACAATTTTACAATAATCTCGCGGATAGGATTATTTTCGAGTAAAAATTTAATATGCTTGGTCTAACATTCAAGGTTACAATAATTCGCATAAAGCTGAAAATTGGTACGAACGTTGGGAACACTATTATAAATGAAATTTGAAAAGTTCCCATCGATCCCAGATCTGCAAAAAAATCATTCAAGGTCAAAGTTCGCAAATATGGGTTTGCATTTTTCAGCCAAACGGTAAGTTTTATTATTAAAATAGGTCTGACAAAATTGTAGATCATGCAATTGTCTATAAGAATTGTTCTTATACTTTTTCCTTTGGAGGATATCACTAAACCCATATTCTTGTGACCTTGATCTTAACTTTCAAGGTCAAACCAAGGTTATCTTAAAAATATTTAATGGAACACCATATTTTTTATGCCAGCAGTCGATAGAGCATTCAAACATTCATCCGGAAAATTTTTCCTATATGACCTTGCAAATCATTTGAGGTCAAACTCATTTTTATCTGAATAACTAAACAAAATTGTTTTAAGCGTTTGTAGAAGTTTGAAAGATAAATGAAATGGTGACCTTAAATTTGACCTTCACCACAAGTTGCAAGGGCAAACTAAGGTCAACTTAGTGCCTACTGAAATGCGCTATTTTTGATGTCTTGGTAGGTTATTTGAAGGTCAAACTCATTTATCACAAAAAATAATGAATATAACAGACGTATTAAGTATTGATCAAGTTGATCTTGATTTGACTTTGAACTTAATGTCAAGGTCATTGGTTCTTTGATATCATATAAATTTTATCTGAAACTTCTCTTGACAGATTTCAATCCAGAAAAGTTATCGGAGGACTGGGGTTAATTTGGAACACTATACATTAGCTTGAATAATCCTGTCCTCATCTAAACGCGCCAAACTTGCCCCGGAGGGAGAAACACGTCCTTCTGAAGGGTAATCAGATCTCCACACATCCGTCCTAATAATTCTCAAACTAACCGAAACGGAACTAAACCTAATAGGCAGCTAAGATTCGCAGTCGGCTACACCTTAACTTTAATGAGTATTATTTCCATCAACAGGTGTATCGGGAGCGCACTTTAAATTGAGGGATTAATAATGGATGCCGGGTCAACCCTCGAGGATATTCGAGCTTTAGGCCGTTTGGTAATTGGTTGGATGGCCCGTTGTCTTAGGGATTATGCGGGTTCTTAGTCTAGACCGTTGTTGCCGTTCGGAACTTCCCTTTGAAGTTTTTTCAATTAGGGTGGAATAGAGGTGATTTGAAGGTCATTAGGTCACGTTGTAGTTAAGGTTGATGTGGTCGGGTGTACGTGTAGGGGATGCCTTTAAAGTTTAGATCATATCATTAAAAAGTTTGCGATCTTTGCAAATTCACCTCAACTATACAAATAAAGATTGCCATAAATTCAGGAGTCAAGAAAGCTGATTCATTAGCATTTATGAAAAACACGGTTTTGTGATATTATTAATTGTTATTGTCAAAATTATCGTTCCTGCCAACATTTAATTGTGAGGGCTTCCGCTGGAGGAATTTGAGTAGGAATTACTTATTCAAGAGGTAAAGATACTGTGAATCAAGAAATATTTAAAAAATTGAGGCTCTTGGCAAATATGTTGTTGAAATATATTTCGGAATGAAGTAAAATGTAATTAAAATTAACATATTCCAGTTACAGGTACCATGGGACAGAAAATTTCCGTGGTTGCTTTGTTAAATTTGGGATGAAAGTGATCATTATCAAAGATATGTTTTCTTTCAGGAACGCTTGCTGCTGTCTGTGCTTCCCCGCCACGTAGCTATGGAGATGAAGGCCGACATCGCCGGACAGCCCAAGCAGGAGCAGTTCCACAAAATCTACATACAAAAACATGAGAACGTGAGGTAAGGAGAGCAATTAGATAAAAGCGTATCTGGATGGGGATCTGGGAAGAATTGGGGACGCTCGTGTAAATGACGAGAGAGAGAGCGGGACGCCGAATTACGGCTATATTTCATTTTTATTCACCTCGATGAGTCGCCTGGCACATCGTTTTCGGGTAATTTACTTCGTACAGCCCGATTTTTTTACTGGGATGGTTCTAGGGAGCGCTGGGGCGTCCGATAAAAAGTGCAGTTGTCATATTTGTAGGAATACTTTAAAGTTTTATTAAATAATGGCCCAAAATTCACGGAAGGTGTGATTTTGATATAAAACACAGGTTTTTAATTAACAGTTGACAATTTTTTTATTGATTCATAAAGTGTACAGTATAGGAACATGTATGGAATAGCGTATCGGGTAAATTGCCTCCACAGCTTTGCTGGCACATACGCACTCTTTTGTCGAAATTTTCCATGTCCGTTTTGCCTAAATGCGACTGAATTTCGTTGATGCAGCGCTCAATTTCTTCTTTCAAGGCTTGGGTGGTCGTGGACTTGTTGACATAAACCTTAGACTTCACAAAAACCCAAAGGAAAAGTTCAACGGCGTTAAAACTAATGATCTGAGTGGCCAATTCTGATCACCAAAACGGGATATTACACGACCAGAAAATTACTCATGCAATAATTGAATAGTTTCTCAGGCTGTATGACTTGTGGCACTGTCTTGTTGAAACCACATGTCGTCTACACCAATGTCTTGCAATTTAGGCACAAAAACTGTATAATCATGTCGTGATAGCGTGCATCGTAACTGTTATTTCCTAACCGGACAAATTTTCACACCAAAATTTGCAAATTTCAACATGGCGGATCCAAGATGGTGGATGGGTTTTTTTGGGGGTCACTGACCCCATATTCGTGATCAGCAACCGCAAAAACGGCCGTATGCCATCTTTGATGCAAATCGACTGATTTTCAAAAAATTCGTCCGCCATCTTGAAACCGCTATCTTGAAATTTGCAAATTTGACCTCGAATTCGTGATCAGTGACCCCAAAGACCCCCGTGTACAAAGTATGGAGCAAATCGGTTGATTTTCGAAAAATTCGTCCGCCATATTGGATCCGCCATCTTGATTTTTTTAATCCGATCATGGATTCATGATCAGAAACCTCTATGAACTATAACCAAAATGTGAACAAATTTCAATTCCTCTACTCAAAAAACCAAAAACCCCAAAATTTTGTGTGGATATTTGCATTTATTAAGAAATAAATGAAAAAAAACTATTACATATAACACGCTGTATCTCTTTAACTATCAACATTTGGACTAAGGTAAGTTCGGCTAAATCGCAATATTTTTCTTCGGGAATCTACCTATGAATTTTGGCTCATTACCTCGGGACCACCCTGTATATTTGGTATTTTTATTCAGCGCACGGAAATAATCGAAGATCGGGAAAACTTTCACCGTGCGCTAGCCCGAAAAAGCCTATCTTACATTATTCTTAAGATGAAAATAAGATGTTTTCAAAGAAATATAATAAAAAAGCGTTTTTCTTTCGCGTAGCGCCCCATTTTTAATAACAATGCACTGTAAGTTGTCATGCTGTCTTTATTTTTTGTTGGCAACACTTTACCGCACAAACGGCGCCAAATTCAAATCTTCCGTGAATTTCAGGCCACCCGATATTAAGAATTACATCTTCTAGCACTAATCATTTATCATTACACCGTTTCGAAATACGTAAATCGTCTCCATTTCTAGTTCTCGATATATCGCAGTAAATTTTGTCGGAAGACAAAGGCCGCGGCGATAAGCTAAGACTTTTTGTCGGTACGTGTGTGTATACGATGCTTAGAGCTTAAAGGGCGTATAATGGAATTATCTTTATCGCTCTTCCTATGAGCAATAAATTCGTTAGCAGCTCCTCTAATCTGGGTAATCTCATTCCGTTCTATGAGAAGAATTTATTGGATTCGGGGCGGCGGTTTCTAAATTCCCGCGTATGTTAGTTATAACGGGCACAATGATTAATTCTGGGTTTAAATCGGTTATAAGGTTGTGGCTTATAAATTAAATTCTGATATAATTCGGGCGGTGGCGGTGTTTTGTTTAACCCCGTTTATAGATTGTACAGGTCGCGGCTTTATCTAATAGAATTTGCGCAGGGCCGGTTCATTACTTTTGTTGAAATCGTTTTAATGCTATATTTGGCGAAAGTTGACTTCACAAAAGAAGTATCCGCTACAAAAGTTATAGATTATGCAAAAATCTACAACTTTTGTTGAGGTCGCTTTTTTACATAACCTCAAAATTTCCGAGATAAATGCCAAAACATTTTTTTTTCGTTTTTTATTTTTAATTTCCACTAAAAAAAATTAATTTTGACGAAACTTGGTGAAAGTATACCTTTCTGTGTCTTAATTAACCACAATTTTTTTCAGATAAAAAAATCGAAAAGTTTCCGAGACGTTAATTTTTTCCGGTCCGAAANAAAGGAACTGAAACAAACTCAATATCAATAAAACTTTTTTGTAATATGGTAGTTCATAATCAAAATGAAAAGCTGCACAAAATACTTAGAATACGGTTTTATTATCAGTGATGAAGTGAAATATTTTTATAATGAAAAAAATGTTGACAGTAAAAAGTTCTAATATCCGATATTTAAATATGAAACTTCAGAACTAAACTTATCTTACTTATAATCAGAAACTCATAGAAAAACACGGAACCAACCATCTAGGAAAGCAAAACAATACGAGAAGCAAAACTCACATTTGACACCTTCAGATCGTAGGATAATGTAACTTTTGAAACAATTCTCAGATTTCACAATTTAAAAATAAATACGAAAATGTGAGTTTGTATCACTTCTAAATTTTAAAATGGTGTAGTTCAACACGACGAACAAGATAGCGTCACTAGCTCTATTTCGAAAAATTATGGATAATGTCGAGTTTTGCATCTATACCTCTCATTTACACGAGCAAGATAAAACTTCAGACTAAATTTCACTTCAAAATATTAATTTTTCCCAAAGTTATGTTATGTCAAAGAATCAATCAGCTGATCCATGATTTGAGAAAAATTAAATATTTTTACATGAAATTTGGACTGAAGTCTTATCTTGCTCCTGTAAATGAATGAATAATTGAAAAACTTAATTTTTTATTATAAACGACACGATTTTTTTAAACAAATTATCAACAATTACTGAAAAATTCATTCAGTCATTTTTTAAAATTTTTGATCATGTTTTTGAATTGTGATTAGATTTTAAAAGGTATATGTTAAAACGAAAAAAATGAGCACAGGCAGAATCTAGTACGATGATTTCTCTAAGGAGATTTAAAAAAAAAGTGTTCCGGACCGGAAAAAATGTCTCGGAAACTTTTTGATTTTTTATCTGAAACTGTTTGGGGTTATTTAATTGTAAGAATCAGACAGGTATCCTTTCACCAAGTTCATCAACATTAAATTACAGCCACACAAAAAAAAGTTGTCTACTTTGGTTCGATCCGAGGTCAATTTTGCAAAACTCAAGATGGCGGATCCAAGATGGCCGAACAATTTAAATGCGGGAGTTTCCGGGGTCGCTGATTACGAATTCGAGATCAAAATTGCAAAATTAGTTTGTAATATTTTTGTTTACTTTATAACCTAAGTACCCAATCATATTTTAACGTTTTTTTTTTCGGCTATATCTTGTCTTTTTTCTGGAAAAGATCTATTCATGGATTTTCTGCCTAATCTCAGGTAATAAAGTACATAAGTAATTAATTAAATTTTAAAAAACGAATTTTGTAAATCTGATCTAGGATCCGTGATCAGCGACGTCGAAAACCCCCGTAAACCAAATTTGGCGCGAATATGTTATTTTTTGAAAATTCGTGATATCTGACCTAATTGACCCGTTTTTTGAGGTTAGAAAAAGAACCATCAATTCTGACCGCGAATTCACGTTCAGCGGGGTCTTAACCATATAAATGAACTTTTTCTTGAATTTTTGCTATTTTTGACCTGATTTTTGAGGTTAGGAAACTCCTGTGAGGTGATAGCTGAATTATGACACCGGATTCGTGATCAGGAGGCAAAAATACTACAGATAACATATGTCGCATGAAATGTAGACAACTTTTTTTTGTGCGGCTGTGTTATTTTTGCGGAAATGAAAAATAAAAAACGAAAAAAGAAAAAAAACTATTTTTCTCCGAAATTTTCAGGTTATGTAAAAAGTTGTAGATGTTTGCATGATCTACAACCTTTGTATTTGATACTTTTTTGACCTTCGCTGATAATCACAATATGTAGTACCATTCGTCACCACTTTCAACCCTCTAAATCAACTGTCCATTACCCCCTCACACATTTATTTTTTTTACGGTTATTATAAGCCCCTTTACCATTTCCACTTATAAAAATCAAGGTAACATTTTTTTCTTTTTTCCTCTCTTAATAATGAGTTATTTCGATCGGTCTAAAACTTTCCAAACAACGAAAGAAAATAGTACAATTTCCTTTTTCCACGTAAATTATGTTCGATCATCAGTTGTGTGGGAATCCCAGAGGCATTATTTTAAAACCGCCGATTTGCTACTTTTAAACATCGACCCCCGACCGATTTATACCTGTCGGAAGTTTAAAAATGTCCCTAATAAAAGCTCAGAAGTTTCCCGTTGGTCCCCAACGACCTAGACGCGTAGTTTCGGCGGCCGGCCAAACATATTATCCCCACAAATCACGATAGATTAATCGCTGCGATCCTTTACGGCAACAGCCCGAGCCGACCCTGCAAAATATTAATTTATCCTCTTTTTTCGGCGTCGGCGAAGCGTCGCACGCCGCAATAAAATATTTAGAGATCGGGGCCCTTAAAGGGTCCCTTGGAATGTGTTTTCTGTGTATAAGTTCGGCTCCCTTTTCTTTCCAGCATCCTGTTCGCCGACATATGCGGGTTTACAACTCTCTCAGATCAGTGCACGGCGGAGGAACTGGTTCGAATATTGAACGAGCTCTTCGCGAGGTAAGTAAATTGTCTAAATTTTTCTTAATAGAGCTTCATGCTCACTGCTTTTTTTTTATACAGAGTGTAAATGAACTTACGTCAAATATTTTTGCCACATGTCCGTTATGTCAAAATGAGGTAAATACACTGGTTTGTGTTGAGTATAATGTAATTTTAAATCCTGACTTACCTCAACATTGCAAGGAGCCACTTTTTGAGAACAGCTGATTTTCATAGAAGATGCCACCATTTGCTTGCACACAAGCTTCAGCGCGACGTATCCAATTCGCTCGCAAGCGTTGCAAAATTTTTTTCTCAACGTATTTCTTCTAATTGCTCAATAACCGTAGCCCAAAAAATGTTGTTGTCTAAAGATCTTGAAACTATAGACTTAAAGTTTCAAAATGTCTTTTTGTTTATATCGATACGATCATTTTTCACTGAGATGCAACCTTTCGAATATCACTAAAAAATTCATAAAAATTCCTTGTTCCTTTAATTTTTTCCAGTAGTGTATTTCGTGTTATATTCGTTAAAAAATAGACAGCTTTGGTTGCCCAAATGTAGTGAATGAAAATCCTTAAATCCTAGCTTTTCAATTCAATGTTTAGTTGTTGATTTTGGAGACGATCGTTGCGGTTTGCGGCAAACAATTCAATGCTCTGAAACATATCCCATACTAGCGAGAGGTGTTTTATTGAATTCAAAGCATATATTTGTACAAAATCAAAATGCGTATTTCCGTTGTTAATTAATTTTTAATATTCCGTAATTAAAGGTTATGTCTTTACCACCAGTTCACTTTTGTATTTTCGACTATAACCTTCCTGCTCTAAATGAATTACTTATAGTGTACTCGTGAATTTAGGTTGTGTGCATGTGGATGAGAAGATTATGACACTTTGATTTGAGTGGTTGTGACTTATTTTGTAGTAAGTAACTATTTAAGTTTCTCATTAGCGTATTCTTCAGCGTTTATTTATTTTATTTTTTTTGGGGTAATTTAGGAGTTTGCTTTTTAAGTAGAACGATTTTAAGACGGATTTAGCTTATTGAAATTAATTTTTCAATCGTACTAGATTTAGATTTATCATGAAGTATGAATTCTAAATAATTTTCTTGACATATGATTTGGCAAATTTGCAATTATCCTCCATCGACAGCGATTCTCAAAATGTACATGTGAATGGACGGATTAAAAAGAAATTAATGTGAAAGAATGGATTAGAGAAAATCAAGAACATGCTATTTTTAAGAATACAACAAAAAAAAAGAAATGTATGAGGAACGAAATGTTTTCTTAAGTTTACAAATAAAAAGTCTTTGCATTAGAGGCATTAATAGGCGAAGCATAAATATGTACCTAATTTAACTGGTTAATAAAATTTATCCATTCTAAAATAGGCACTAAAACCAGCATATACTGACTTATTATAGGAGATGCAGTATAAAACCTTACGAGAACTTATAAAATGCAACTAGCTCAGTTAAATACATAAAGGAAACAAGTGAAAATAATAAAATCGTCATTGGTTGTAAGAAGTTTGTCATATGCAAGTCCGAGTTAGTGACAAATTTATTTATTTTATAAACTACATATCGCCTTTTGTTTTTAATATCTCCCCATCGCATAACTTTTAAAACCAACATCCTCACAATATGTGAAGGAATAATAAAACTTTTACCTTTGGCAGTTCTTCCTCAGGATCACAAAATTTTTATATCAAAGTTTCCAAATTACATTGCCGCAATGTATAATAGCAGGAGAAATAAAACTTTATTTCTCGGATTGTATTATACCAGGGAAGAAACAGTAAAAGGGTAATAAAGGCATAAGTAGTCAGTACTGCAATTTATTAACTCAAATAAAAGTGCAGTAGTTAAGATGGAGTTGAAGTTCCTCCAAGATGGGGAACGGAAGACAAATGTCGTACAAACTGTACTTTAATTAAGTTTTTTTATTAAAGAGACGAACTTTTAAAAATTTATTAAAATTGAAATACCAACTAACATCTCGTAGGTTGGAAAACAAAAACTAGAAGGTATTGATTATTTTCTTATCATTTTGTTCTGGGGTTCCTTGAACTAACATTCTCGCTTTTACATATACCTCTCAGTTTTTATTATTCACATAAAATGGAAGACCTAAATAAATGTCAAATATACTTTATTGGTTTATCTGTTGTCGTTCGTTCTTTATAAGTTACTAAAAAGTTCCCGAACAAACAGTACGGTGCCAATCCCCTGACAGACCTGCCACGTGTCTCGTTGATTTGAATACTACAGGGTCGGAAAGTCCCCATGGTTCATCAGCCGTTACGTGAGACCGATAAAGCAAGTCATAGAAATCCGTGCGATAGAGAAAGATGGCTATAATGAGGGCATCTAATAGTCACCGCCCATTTCGCCCTTTCACAAATAAGATCCACTTCTTATTTGTGGAAGGGCAAAATGGGTGGTGATTATTAAACGCCTTCATTATAGCCATCTTTCTCTATCGCACGGATTTCTATGACTTTCTTTATCGCTCTCACGTAACGGCCGATGAACCATGGGAACTTTCCGACCCTGTATATTAAAAATGGGGCGATATCATTCAAGCACTCCATTGGAGGAACGGGGATTATTAACTTACAGAATCGAGAGAATATTGGCTTTGTACAAATATTAAATCGAATTACGCCTTTGCTTTTGTAATTGGACTTGACATGGCGCGGGGGTATTTTTCAAAGGTAGCTGCGTCAATTTACATGACTATTACGAATCAGGATTCGCTAAGTTGTCTTTACTCCAGTACCAAAATAGTAGGCCAGTAGTAATTACTAAGTGATAAAATAATTTTGTGTATTTTATACATGGAAATTGTAATGTGCCGTTCATCTTGCATAGTGTTCCGATAATATATTGAGCCTACGTGGGCGTGCTTGGAGCAAATATTAAAATTGTAGTTGTTGGTTCATTTTTAGTGCGACATAATAGATGGCGTAACGCATTTTAAAATAAGGACTAACAGATGGCGTGGTGCTGCTAACCTTGTAGGTTAGTTCTCCTTTATTAGTAGGGTCTCCAAACAAATACCTTTAATCCAATGGACAATGCCGCCAATTAAAATGTTTTGTAGACTATAAAATACCTGCCAAAGAAATCAAACATCTGTTAACAATTTTTATAACTAATAGCTTTGTCAATTTGTAAAAATCATAGCGATTACGAACTAGACTACAACGCGGCTATTTTTAGCTTCCATTTATTTGAAAAGAATATTCTCGGCACCGCCACCTGGCAATGTAAGAATACAATATCCAAGACGAGTTCAGATGTAGACGTCAAATATAAAATTCCGATAAGGTTACCCCGCCAGGCGCGTATCCGGCCCCTACATTTATTTTCACGTTTTCAATAAAGGCCCCGAAACATAACTAAATGATATTGTAATATTCGACGCGCAATATTTCCTCGAAAGTCGCGGACTTATAAATCCATCAGAACTTTGTCAATTCTTTTGAGATTGATTGAAAGTATTGGAACCCAGTGGCGGCTCGTCGGGTGACACAAGTGACGCACCGCTTCACCTAAAATTTCTGTTTGTTTGTGCAATTTAAAATTATTTTAAATTTTATATAAATCTTATAATTTAGGTATAATTCTATATTGAAAATGTATTGTGTTTGTTTGTCTTATACGCAGAAATGAACAGAATAATTCCGCGGTGAACGCCTTCTAAAAAATCATTGCCTTCGTTGAGCGCGAACATCAACCTCGTACCATACAACGTATAGTATACGCAAGTGACTCATATTGAAATTGGTATGTATCTGCTTTTCTCCGTAGCTCTCCGTACGGCAGTTGTCATGGCAACAAGGCAGCCAACNTTGTTGTATTTGTTACCAATTTTTTTCAAAACCGATTTATCTCGCAAACCGTTCATTTTTTCGAAATAAATAAAGAGTACCATTTTTAAAGAAAAACCTTCAGAGTATCTAATAATAATATTTTCAGTTTGATAAAATTACTTCTGTCAAAATTTTGAGAAAAATTGTGATAGGGCCAGTCCGTTTCTGGACACCTGATAATAGCAAAAGGTTGATTTTAGCATCAAATCGTAGAGCTCCATCAAAGTTATAACCCTAAACGTTAATTTCTAGGTACCCCTTTGACCCCCCATAACTCCGTTAGGGGGCACATTAGGAAAAAAAATTATAGGAAGGACTAGTTTTATTTTGACCTCCTCTATACACTACCGAGAGATTAGGAGGTACTTACCGGACACCCTGTATATTGAGCCTTCGTAGGCGTGCTTGGAGCAAATATTAAAATTGTAGTTGTTGGTTCATTTTTAGTGCGACATAATAGATGGCGTAACGCATTTTAAAATAAGGACTAACAGATGGCGTGGTGCTGCTAACCTTGTAGGTTAGTTCTCCTTTATTAGTAGGGTCTCCAAACAAATACCTTTAATCCAATGGACAATGCCGCCAATTAAAATGTTTTGTAGACTATAAAATACCTGCCAAAGAAATCAAACATCTGTTAACAATTTTTATAACTAATAGCTTTGTCAATTTGTAAAAATCATAGCGATTACGAAATTAGACTACAACGCGGCTATTTTTAGCTTCCATTTATTTGAAAAGAATATTCTAGGCACCGCCACCTGGCAATGTAAGAATACAATATCCAAGACGAGTTCAGATGTAGACGTCAAATATAAAATTCCGATAAGGTTACCCCGCCAGGCGCGTATCCGGCCCCTACATTTATTTTCACGTTTTCAATAAAGGCCCCGAAACATAACTAAATGATATTGTAATATTCGACGCGCAATATTTCCTCGAAAGTCGCGGACTTATAAATCCATCAGAACTTTGTCAATTCTTTTGAGATTGATTGAAAGTATTGGAACCAGGAATTGAAATATTTATACGAAGAAATAAATTCATAACGTAAAGTATAAGATATAAACTATTTTATTAGACCAAGAAATAAAAGGGAAAAATCATCGAGAAATCGTGAAAATTACTAGGCGTGATTTTATTGTTGGAAAGTCTTGGGAATGGTAATACAATAGGCGTCTCATCTCGTGGGTCATGAAAAAAGTATAGCGTCATTGTTTTTTATCAACAAATAGATCAAAAAAATGTAATTTTTCGTTCTACGCGTTATTGTAAAAAAAACTATTAATCTTAGCAAAAAATGTTCAACAGACGATTTGATCTAGAGAAACTCATCTTTAAAATGAGACTTTATAAGTTAAAATTGCTTTATAAACAAAAAATTTATTGCAAAATTAAACGAAAAAAGTGATATTTCTTTAATTGTTAATAATTTTTTAAAAAATTAATAAAATCTTACCAAACTTTCCCTAAACGTGATTTTTTATATCCTTAAGAGATGTGCAAAAGATGGGCTCGATCGGTCAAATAGTTTTTGGAAAATTCCATTTATTTATCCAATTTTTTGCAAAAAAGGCCGGGGGTAGGGTTATGACTACAACATTCTTTTTGGGCTCATTTTCTTCGAAGGGACACCAAGTATCTTTTAGTTAAAATAAATTAATTTTTTTTTCCAAATTTAGTTGTAAAAAAATTGCTAATTCTGGACCTATTGGTCGTAGAAACTTTTTTTTCAATTTGTAGTTTTTTACGAGCTTTCAAAAGGTGCATATAACGTCCTTCAAATTTAATAACCGCGGAGTTATTTTATTTGTTTATTAGGGAAGAAAGTGCCTTTTATTTGTGAAAAATTATATACAACTAAATTTATTTAGTTTATTTACTAAATGTAATTGTAGCTATATTATGACAATGTAATTCTAAAAAATAAAGTTTGGACAGCAGTGGTGGATTTTCAGGAAGGCACGGAAGGTTAAGCCTTTTCAGAACATGTTCATGAATTTATTTTCTTTATAACTGCTAATACGCAATTATTAATTATTTACTTTTGTTTTAATTTCATAACCAACTATACCCTAAATACCTTGCAAGTAAGGGTTGTACAGTTCAATTCGCTGTGGATTCGCTACTCGCCATAATAGATGCAGTCAGCTTTTTAACTCAGCAGGGGAGGCTAGCCTCCGTTGCCCTTCGAAAGCGTTCGGATCAGGATCGGATTCTGCTTAAATTTAAACTGCAAAATGTACCTTTGATAATGTTTTGGCTCTCTAACGCAAAATTTTCTAACGAATAATCAAATTATTTCACTCATTTAATCACTCGTATTATTAATTTGGTATAAAAAAATCGAAAACAATAAAAATCAGAACAATATATCAAGGTATATACACTTATTTGCACCTATCTTACGTGGAATAGTTTCAAATGTCGCCTGTGAGGGCGCCAGTTGAGAATTATTCTTAGTATGTTCGAGAAAGGGTGTATGTCCTTACTGATTTGTATTATACTGTGGTAATACCGACAAGTTAACAGATGAAAGTGATTTCTGAAAGGATAAGGGATGTTCCAAACGACTGAACTATAATTCGACGGCGACATTCGGAGGAAATTCGTTCCAGAGCGTGCGATTACAGCTAAATCCACTTAGCCCGGCGTTCCCTAAATCATCTGAAATTAATTCCTTTTTCAGATTTGATCGACTGGCGGCCGAGCACCACTGTCTCCGCATCAAGCTGCTGGGAGATTGCTATTATTGCGTCTCTGGCCTGCCCGAGGCCAGGCCCGATCACGCTCACTGCACCGTCGAGATGGGCCTCGACATGATCGACGCCATAGCGTAAGTGAATTTTTTTTTTCTATTAAGATCTAGAATTTGTAACTATTCTCCTTGCTAAAATGATACAAGAAAAAAATAATTGTTATGCTCTTTCCGAAGTCAGTTCAACATGTATAAAAACGCCTAGCAATAAAATTTAATGAGTTTCATAAGCGTCCCTAAAAAGTTTTCTGCTAAAGGTAAAAAATTATAGTAATTTGTATATAATGTGTAGAAAATTTATATTTTATATTCATTCGACCAACAACATATTTCAATTATTTATGTCCTCAAACAATTTTATTATATTGATGGTAAATTTCCTTTTGTTCCGTTTCAAAAGGCTTCCAAAATGTCATGTTGTGATAATATTAGTAAACAAAATGTCCCTCTTATTTTTCCCTTTCGCAATTGTAATGAATGACTAATAGAAGGTGCCTATAATAAATTAAAATTACCTGAATCACACCAAATTCCGCATTGCTGCACTGCACTGCTAGGCCATTTGTTGACAACGGAATTTATGGCCAGGTCGCCCAGTGCGGCGGTGTTTGTGCCGCGTTTTCCCGCGCGGCCATTCTTTAACTGGGCGACCAAAATTTTTTTATATATTTCAATGCCGAGTTGGTGCGTCAGCGACCAAACCTGGTGCATACTGCCAACCTCTTGGTTCTTCAATTGACATTGCGAAGGACTATGCCAGAACTATTTGAGAAGTCGAGGAAAGTGTGACGAAAAATTAAATGCCTGATTTTACTTATTGTCTCATGTACTTTCAGTATGCAATAAAAAATATTAAAAAATTATACCACGTGAAATTTTCGAGGTGGCAAGAGAATAACAATTTTTTCTGGCACCAATTTCTTCAGTATATTAAAAATGAATTAATTCCCACAAATAGATCAAAAGCTATAACCAAAATCCACAAATGACCCAGGCCAGGACGTTCTTTATATCGTCATTCCCTGCAGATCTAGGTCATTCCATCCTGTCGTGAAACATCCTGTAGATAAAGGCTAGACGATTTTGTAAATTTGCACGATTATTTAATTCGACGAACACGTCGTATATGTTGATGAGAAAAGTGTCAATATCGAGTGTTGCATCACGTTAAAATACGACATATCACTCCCTCTCACTCTTATGAGGGATGCTTTCGGTATGCAGCAAAAATAAAACTCTCTCAACAATAAAATAAAAGTATTTTTATTGTTTTCAATAAAATTAGTGAAAAAGACGTGTTGTCGGGGCGAGAATTCGCTGGTATGGAATCGCTCGTATGTATATGTCTGTGGTCCTGGCGCCAATCTGCCGCCGACCTATCCTGGAACCCTGGTGCGTCCCGCGTCTGTTCTTTGTCCTTGCAACTGTTAGACCGATCCGGGCGGCGGCAGGTTGGCGCTCTTGACGTAATACTTAAAATGGGTCACTTGCAGACATGTGTACCCACAGTTAATAAAACGGAAAAATGTTAGATTATGTTTTAAAATAATTCTGAAGCTTATAACCAGTGTATAAGTATGTAATGCATAGGTAATGTAAAATTCACTAATATAAAAAGTTGTAATTCATTTAGTAGCGCTACTCAAACACTTTTTCTTCTCTTTATCGACTTCTGCGCCGTTATTTTCATCAGAAACCCACTCGGAAGAATTAATTATTAAGCTTAATGGATTCGCGTGCTCTTTGCGACTGGAGCGCCGGACCAGGATTAATTATATTTTTAACCCAGAAACGCCGGCGGTCCTTTACGCTTGTCGTACGAGGTTCACAGGGAAAATACAAAATAACACGAAACAGTCGAATAGTCGCATGAGTGGCTCAGTTTTTTTTTATTGCCAGTATCTCCAAATGTACTCAGTAGTAACGAGAAAAAAAGTTGCTTCGTTCCAGCGGTATACGTCTGTATAATTTCGATCTATGTTATAGACTTTTCTAGTGTGACGTCACATATTTAGTCAACTCGCAAGAAATTGTCATAGTTGAAATTGTACAGACCGAATCTGACCCTTGTGTACTATTTACATAGATACTATAAAAATGAACAACTTCAATTTCATTCAATATTATTTTTTCAAGTACTTAGAATTATTTAACAACCAACACGTGTTTCGTAATAGATGCTTAAAATTTACAAAAATTATAAAAGAATATTCCTAAATTTAAATAAAGTAAAAATTTAACACTAGCCGTGTTATTCTTAATGCGTATGCTCGGGAAGAATAGCCTCATACGCAGGTGAGCTCTTGTTGATATGTTATCGCTGTCATCATTAGCGTATTTTCTCTTGTTTTGTTTAGTCTTGGCATTTTCTAGTTCTACTAAATATTTTTATTGCTTTTCTTGGTGTTGTGCTGTGTCAGTGTGTTTATCGAGTGGGTTTTTTTTCTTCAAGTGGTTTATTATAGACGTACTCTTAACCATAACCATACTTTTCCTGAATGATATCCTGTTGCGAGGCTACTTCGCTTACATGAAATTATCTTTAACGCGCATGCCCAGTAACATCGATATAATTTTAATTTACTAATTACTATAAAAGTCAATATTGTTCTATAAATTCTATAAGTACTTCTTTTAGTTTATTACTTGGGGTTTGAAACTTCTTAAATATTTCTAATATTTCCAGAATATCCTGATATTTAAGGTCATGACAAAGAAGACATTTTTTTGGCACTGTAGCGGTACGCTACAATTACACTTAGTACCTGCCCCAATAAATATATTTTGCTTTTTGGGAATTTACGAGCCATATAAATTATACTTTGAATTATCCGAGATTATCCCAAATAAATATATTTAGCAAATGAAATTAGAATAAGTAGGCGGTAAACATAAATTGGTTGTTGCTTATTAGGGTACATAAGCACAAACCGAGTAGGTAATGGATACCTAGTAGGTAAAGGATAAGTGTTAATTAGGATAGGGTAATAATAGTAGGTACCAAAGATAAAAACCGAAAACATTTCGAGGCACGAAACAGAAGTCTTGATGCCTAGTTCCTGCACGGTTGTGTCTCGTGTTACCAGCGAAATTAGTAGAATAAAGTTTTTCCTACTACTTAGAGCTTTTCTCTTCACTTGAAGACCAAACCACTATAGCACTTATATCCAAAGTACAGAAGGTCGAAAATCGATCTAGTAAAAAATTAGAGAAATTCTTCATGGCGTATGTGACGTCACTACTAAACGGTCTATTCGTATTGCTGTATTTTTTTATAGTCCACAGTTATTAGTGCTGCTAATATGGTTGCCTAACTGGGATCAAAGCGTGTAGGAAGGAAACTCGGTATTTGGACCGGAAAAGTGTTTTTGGGTTGGAAAAAAAGCAAAGCATGCAAGCGTATTGAAAGTAATGATGGCGAATTGATATAATTTGTGTTAATCCAAGTCATAGTAACAGATTTTGTGTAATACGTATGCGTATACGGTTCTGAGTTATATTTTAGTGAATTGATAAATTTTCGTATTTGATATTTTACGATTTAATATGTTTTAGTACAAAAAAACAAATAAATATGTACCAACAAATATTTACATAAATGATCTAAAACCTGAAGTCATATTAAGAATTCCGGCACTACACTGAACTAGAAAGAACCTACATCTTTAACCCTTAATTAGTTGTAGCCAATGTCATTTAGAATTGTCAGTAATTCAGTGGTGGGTTGCTTATATGATATATTTTTTTAAATTCTATTACTTAAAACACATTTTTGTAACACTCCGCATGAGTTCTATTGTTGAAAAGTTGTACTTGAGTTTGTACACTTCACTTGAAATAGTGAGGAAATATATACAAGGTGTTTCATAATGATGTGCAAATATTTTAAGGGGGGTGTTTAGAAAGTAATTTTAGAGGGGGGTGGGGTACTTCCAAAATATTTGTTTTATTTGAACCCCCCTGAGAATATATTCAAATCTTAAAATGGCCGAAAAAATAGCTTTTATTTTTTTTCGCGAAAATGGTTAAACTTAGAAATTTGAATTTTGGTACACGTTAACAACTAGTTGATTGGTATTTTTTGGTAGTCTTTTTTTTTGGTTTATGTTTTTGTGTGAAAGAAATTTGCACCCCTTGGTTTTATTTCTCTCACAACTTTTTCTACGTTAGCCAGTTAATTCCAACAAGAAAAATAGCTTTTAATACTACATTTCATTTAGAAACTTTTTTACTCGTCTCATTTTTTCGTATAGTTAATGGTTTTCGAGCTAAAAAATAAATTATTTTTCCTTACCGATTAGGTACACATAATTAGTATAACAGTTACCAAAAACGATCGTTATTTTTGACATGCTTTTTGCAAAAATTCTTGTTTATCAATAGGAAAAGCTAAGCAAATATGAACTAAAAATTGAATAAAAAAAAATAAAAGCAAATTTTTTCGGACATTTTGAGATATGAATATTTTCTCAGGGGGGTGGGGCTCAAATCGAAAAAATGTATTGGAAGTACCCCCCCCCCAGAATTACTTTTTAAACACCTCCTTAATCATTATGAAACATCCTGTACATCTACTTCGTTAATATCCACACAATCCATTAAAGAGATACCACTCTCTTTTCCCCCAATCCCACTCCTGATATATTATTTTTCAATTTTCCTTCATATCTGCCCTCGGTTTTCCGCCGCAACCATTTCCTTTTTGCTGCGAACGGGGCCAGCGGCTATTCCCTTCGGCCCTCGATATTGTTTCATATCGTGCAGGTGAACAGTTAACGGTCGTCCCAAGATGATGGAAACCTTCAGGAAAAATTGATACGGCGGACTTATGGGATATAGATGAAACGTTAAATATTAAATTTCTGTATAGTGGTTTGAAATAGACACTAATATCGTTGCGAAACTATCTATACATATATAGAAAGACAGTCACAAGTTATATTTGTGTTGATTTCAAATCCGTGTGTGGTATTTTCCATGTCGACGTTCTGTCTGTCCTCCAGGAATAACAAATTGTTCAGGAGATGTATTCAGAAATTCCAATATTAAATATTTACGAGTGCCGCTATGCTCGAGGA